TGTTATAAAAAAATGCTAATTTCGAGGTGCACACTGGAATTAGTTGGGCATCCCGAACTTACAACTTCTTACTTATATCTCAATTGCACTTTACATGGCAGCACTATTACTAGAACTGTGTCAAAAGTCTGTTGTTGCAATACACAATAACATCGTAAGAAATTTATTGAAATATTTTCTCCATATATTCAATGGCCAACCAATAATAATTTTGAATCGTAATAAATGTTGGGTATTTTTATACCATCATCAAAATTAGTTTAAGGAGCTATCTATCCTATATGAGGCGCAAATATATGTACGTATATATATTAATCTCAAAAGATTTTCAATATTAGACCAACGCTTATTCCAATCCTCGAAGCACTTTTGAAATGCGCTTTTCGGTATGGCCATCAGCTCTTTCTTCGATTCTGACTTGGTCTCATCAGTTGTGGCAAAACGCTTTCCTTTCATTAATTTCTTCAGTTTTGGGAATAGGCAAAAGTCGCAGGGAGCCAAATCTGGTGAATACGTTGGTTGCGGCAATTTACGGTTTTGTTTTTGGCCAAAAAATCTCGAATAAGCATTGATGTGTAAGCTGGTGCATTTAGCAATTTCGGAAGAAACTTCGCTGCCACGGGTTTCATGTCCAAAACAATCGAAAAATTGAATGGCATGATACATCATTAAAAACTTCTCGGTCTTCTGTAAAGCGCTTGTACCACTTGTACTCGTAAAATTTAATACATATCCTTTGATCTATCTCTTCTAAAAGTCAAAAATCGATGAGCACACAAAAACGTGACTAACCATTTGTGTTGTCAAAACTACTAGTCGAAATTGGCTTCTAATGAAAGCACATAATAAGCATATTGTAACGGGTTTCTCGATAAATCGTCTACTTATAACTTACTCTTGAGCATTGTATAAATCTACCAGTAGCCAATCCTAAGATTTTCACTAATTCACACGCAAAAATGTCCCACTTGGTACGGGTTGCCTCAAAAATTCTACTACTAAAATTACACATGGTACGGGTTGCCTACTTATATTCTCTACTAAAGTCACACTTTGAAGCGACTAGTTAGAGAATTTGTAGTTGCCAGACTGTTTTAGAAGCAATGTTTTATTAAAATTCTACTATATAAGGTCTGCCAGACTGTGCAGCTGTAAGAGTGTTGTCGTGCTAAGAGCAATTGAGACATAAGCAAGAAGTTGTTAGCTCTAATAACGAGCAATAAGAGCTAAGTCGTTGGAATTAGAAATAAAGATAGGTGTATAGCCATTAAATTGGGACTTTTATTGTAACGGATTTCTCGATAAATCGTCTACTGTAACTCACTCTTGAGTTCGATCACTGGATTGTTAAATAAAAGTCCCAATTTAATGGCTGCACACTTATCTTTATTTCTAATTCCAACAACTTAACACTTATTGCTCGTTATTCGAGCTTACAACTTCTTGCTTATAGCTTAATTGCTCTTATCACGACAACACTCTAACTAGAACTGTGTCTGCTGCACGATCCGGCAGACCTTATATAGTAAACTATTAACAAAAGTTCGCTACTAGAACATTCTGGCAACTACGAATTCGCTGTCTAGTTGCTTCTGGCAGTTAATCGTTAATTCTGATTTGTTCTGGTACTCGTGTTCGCCACACTGCCCTTTACCTTAGTCTGATCGTCCCGATAAGACATATTTGCGGTACCAAACGCTGCAAGCCGTTCCAGATGAACCAGCTTCATTTTATTCCTTGGTCTTCCAATGGTCTGTATGCGATACACTACATCATTGAGTCGTTTAATAACCTGGTATGGTCCTTCCTAATTACACTGTAATTTGGGAGACAGCCCTTTCTTTCGTTGTGGGTTATATAACAATACCCATTCGCCTTCAACAAAACCTTCAGAGTTTATTGCCTTGTCGTATTTTGCTTTCATCTTATCGCTCATAATTTTGGTGCGCTGTCTCACCATAGCATGTATATCCCTCATCTCGTCTTCTAGGATGCTATTGAATTCCTTAGTATTCCTTCCTCCGTTGGCGTTAATTCCAAATTTTAAATCAATCGGTAGTCGAAGATCATTACCAAAAATTACCCTTGCTGGAGTCTGGCCCGTTGTTTCATGTACAGCAGACCGATAAGCCATCAGGAACAAGGATATATGGGTATCCCAATCTTTCTGATACTTGTCCACAACTTTCCTCAAATGTTCTTCCAAAGTTCGATTGAATCGTTCTACCATGCCATCGGACTGCGATGTAGTGGTTGTACGGGTTTTCCGGATACCCAGCTTCTGGCATATCTCCTGATTAGAGGTGATTCAAAATTTCTTCCTTGGTCAGAATGTAATTCTATTGGAACACCATATCTCGCTACCCAATTGTTGATGAATACATCCGCTACTGTTCCCGCCTCCTGGTTAGGAATTGCGTATACCTCTGGCCGTTTGCATAGTCCATGACTACCAAAACATATCTGTTTCCATACTGATAGGAAATGGACCAGCTACATCCATGGCTACTCGCTCAAACGGCGCACCTGAATTGTACTGCTTCATCTGACCATGACTCCTGGACCGCGGCCCTTAGCAGCAATGCACCGATCAATTCTATCCACCTGAACTGATTGACGACAACCAACCTAATAAAATCTTTGTTTTAATTTCTTCAGGGTTTGGATACCCATGTGTCCTCCACTTGGACCATTGTGCAGTTCCTTGAGAATCCGAAATTCTTACTTTTGGAATAATCATCAGAGTTCGTGAACTTTGCCATCTTCGCTTTCCCATACGCGATGCAAGCAGCCAGACACTAACTTCAAACTATTCCATTGTGCCCAATAAGCCTTTGCGACTGGGCTTTCTGCAGCTATTTCTTCTCTTGTTGACGTTTATTCATCTCCAACGTGTATTACGCTTTTCAAATCTGCATCCTCTTGTTGACATTTCGTGCTAGCTCCTGATCCCAGTCTGATGTTATAGTCATTAATCGAACATCTATAATGTCTTCTTTGGCCTCAGCTTTTGAGCAATGCCTGCATTCCAGATTACAGGGAGGGCAGGACATGGCATCAGCATTTCCATGATTACTACCTTTGCGATGTTCTATAGAGAAGTCGTAACTTTGGAGTCTTTCAATCCAACGTGCCAACTGTCCTTCTGGGTTCCTGAATTGCAGAAGCCATTTTAATGCTGCATGATCTGTTCTCACCCGAAATCGCTGGCCATAAAGGTACTTATGAAAATGTTTGATGCACTTCACCAACGCCAGTAATTCCCTCCGCGTAACACAATAATTTCTCTCTGGCTTACTTATGGTCTGGCTGTAATACGCAACCACTTTCTCATGTCCATCAATGACTTGCGATAGAACGCCTCCTACTGCAAATCCACTAGCATCCGTATCCAAAATAAACGTTGATCCTGGGACCGGGTATGCCAACATTGGCGCAGTACTTAACCGCTCCTTCAGAGTTTGGAAAGCCATTTCCTGTTCTTTATTCCATTCAAAAACTCTGTTCTTTTTCGTGAATTCATGGAGGCTACTAGCTACGCTGGCAAAATTTGGAACGAATCGTCTATAATAAGTACATAGTCGAAGGAAACTCCGCAATTCATGTAAATTTTTAGGAGTGGGCCAATCTCTTACTGCCTCGATCTTTTCATTAGCTGTGGAAATGCCCTCCGTTGTGACTTTGTGTCCTAAGTAGTTTACTTCCTTTTTGAAAAGGGAACACTTCTTTGGACTCAGCTTCAGACCAGCGCTAGCTATCCGTTGGAAAACCTCTTCCAAGTTCTCAAGGTGTTCATCGAAGCTTTTACCCAACACGATGATATCGTCGAGGTATACCAAACAGGTCTTCCAGTGTAATCCTTTTAATACCTGGTCCATAAGTCTCTCAAAAGCAGCAGGAGCGTTACATAATCCAAAGGGCATTACGGTAAATTGCCTTAGACCATCTCCAACGCTGAAAGCCGTCTTTTCTTTGTCTTCTTCGTTTACCTCCACTTGCCAATAACCACTTTTTAAATTAAGTGTTGAGAACCATTTTGTGCCTGATAACGAGTCGAGTGTATCATTGATTCTAGGTAGTGGATAACTGTCTTTCTTCGTTACATCATTCAACCTTCTATAGTCCACACAAAATCTCATGTTGCCATCTTTCTTCTTCACAAGTACTACAGGTGAGCTCCACGGACTCTCTGATGGTTCGATTACGCCGCTTTCGCTCATTTCACGTATGGTCTGGTTTACAACTTCTCGTTTTGCTAAAGGAACGCTTCGAGGAGCCTGGCGGAAATGTGTCAACATTTGTGATGACACCTCTGCTATTTGTTGGCTTATACGTGCATCCTGCTCTTTAAATTGTGTCGACATTTGCGTTGACATTTGCGATATTGCGGCAAAAACCATGTTTATGTCCACAATCTTTGACAAGCATTGATCCTTTTCCTTTTCTTCTATCTTTGTTGTCTCTTCTTCTAATTCCATGTGAAAGACATATTCCTCAACATTAATGTTTTCCGCCTCCATGGCCTCTCTCAAACGTGATTGTAATTCAGTTTTTAATCCATTTGTCGCCAAACCACGTTGCTCCAGCTCCTTTTTCAGTTGTGGAATCTTCAGATCGTTAAACTCGGCCATTTTTAAATAATTATCTCCTTGGGAATTTATTTGACAATCCCACTTCTGACACCAATTGTAACGGATTTCTCGATAAATCGTCTACCTGTAACTCACTCTTGAGTTCGATCACTGGATTGTTAAATAAAAGTCTCAATTTAATGGCTACACACTTATCTTTATTTTTAATTCCAACAACTTAACACTTATTGCTCGTTATTCGAGCTTACAACTTCTTGCTTATAGCTTAATTGCTCTTATCACGACAACACTCTAACTAGAACTGTGTCTGCTGCACGATCCGGCAGACCTTATATAGTAAACTTTTAACAAAAGTTCGCTCCTAGAACATTCTGGCAACTACGAATTCGCTGTCTAGTTGCTTCTGGCAGTTTATCGTTAATTCTGATATGTTCTGGTACTTGTGTTCGCCACAATATTAACCGGGTATTGAGAAAACGGGTATCCTAAACTGTTGTTATGGTGCTTTGACAGTTCTGTTCTGTCCAAACAAATATGAAATGTCAGTGCCTAATGTTTTGACGCGGAATTTGAAATTTAGCAATGTAATATTCAAATCATATATTTTAACAACACATGAAAAGTAGTAATTAAATACTTAAATACATATATATGTATATGTGTAGATAATATTTTAATAATAATTGTTAGTATATATAAACATCTGTTTATCTACATATTTACTAATTGAATTGGTAAATCAGCTTACTATTATATCTGTTCTCTCACATATAGTTGTCATCCTCATAATATTTCTTACCAGTTGAACAGCTCAAACATACCCTGTATTAGCTCGAATATATCTAACCGACGCCATTTGGGAAATGATTATTGCGTGATAACAAATGCCCACACAAAAAAATTGTCAATTTTAATAGCGATCAACTGGACAGGTGATTGCCAAAAGCTATTGCCTGTGGAGATGCCGCGTAAAGTTATCAAGATAACATCTCTTACCAGCCGGGGTGCTTTCCAAAATATGTTTACAATAGCAATGAACTTATTAAAAAAGTTGCCATTCAAATGCAGGTATTTTCCTTTTAAGAAATGTGTGATCAATATTAATTCATGTTTCAATTTAAGTGTTAGTTCTGTGCAAGGAAAGGATGTAAAGCAATACGGGAAGCAACACATGTTTGACTCGGTGGCGGAAACCTCGTGGAATTCAAGCGAAGCAAGTGTTTACATTCAGTTTGTATATCTTTCATAATCATTTCTAGTTATCCGAAGTATGGAAGTGTCGTTAAGTATTTATATAGTACTTTAGGGTCGGCTTTAGTATGCCATTCGACGATTTCAGGGTTAAAAGGGGTATGGTCATAATTTTAACGCCGGAAACTTATTGTTTTCGAGATATTTGCAATTTTTATTTTCCTTTAAGATAACCTGTTTTGAACTTTACAAAAAGGTTATTTGTTGTTTTCAGTGCAAATGTTTATGGGCTAAGGAGGTGCTCCAGATTAGGAATATATTTATATATATATATATACAGTATCTCACGCTTAATTGATTACCGTTTAATTAATTTTCCTGCTTATTTGAACCACCTGAACGGTCAAAAATACATTGTATACAAAATACGTGTAATTGAAAAAACTATACCTTTAATTTCGGGTCGGCTTTAGAATAACGTCCCACGCTTTCGGGTATAAAATGGGTATGGGCTATGGGCTCTATGATAGAGGAGATCCCCCAGATCAAGAATATATATAGATATAGCCGCGGGAAACTTATAGTTTTCGAGATATTTAGGTTTAAAGTTGAAAATTTCAACTATTTAAAGTACGTATTTTTGCGATTTAAAATGAGTTATACACTTATATTTTTCACTTTTATATCCACTAACACTTGACTAATTCGTTTTTAGAAATTTTTTTTATATTAGATGCTGCAAAAATAGCTTTATTTCAATAATTAAATCATTCTTCAATTTTATTAATTTTGACAATAACAATATGGTTGTGAATGTCAAAACATCAGTGTTGCCATACTAATATATTTTGTGAACGAAGAAAAATAAAATAAACAGAGACATTGTATCCTAGATACAGGAAACAACGCAAAAAGAATTTCTGCGCGTAAAAACTTTGGTACACCCCGGTGTTGGATCGACCAGGGTTATTTTTTTAAAGCGCGACCGAAGGCCGCCAACGCAAAAAGGAGTTCTGCGCAAAAAAACTTTGATACACCCCGGTGTTAGACCGACCAGGGCTATTTTTTTTGAAGCGCGGCCGAAGGCCGCCAACGCAAAAAGAAGTTCTGCGCAAAAAAACCTTGATGCACCCCGGTGTTGGACCGACCAGGGTTATTTTTTTGAAGCGCGGCCGAAGGCCGCCAACGCCGTATACCGTCCCAAGCTTTCGGGGATAAAATGGGTACTGGCGAATAGAAGAGATCTTCCAGATCAAGAATATATATAATATAGTGGGAAACTTATACTTTTCGAGATATTTACGTTTAAAGTTGAAAATTTCAACTATTTAAAGTCCGCATTTTTTCGATATAGTATGAATTATACCCTTATATTTTTCACTTTTGTATCCACTAACACTTCACTAACTCGTTTTTAGAAATTTGTTTTATATTTTATGTGGCAAAAAAAAACTTTATTTCAATATTTAAATCATGCTTAAATTTTATTAATTTTGACAGTAACAAAAGGGTTGTAAATGTCAAATAACTTGTGTTGTCATACTAATGTATTTTGCAAACAAAGAAAAAAAAATAAAAGGAAAAATTATACCCTAAATACAGGAACCATATTTGTTGATGGGCACTATTAAATCTTTTTTTTTGCAAATTAAGACTATTGTGAAAAAATTGTTATACATTTAATGTTCAAAATATTGCCCATCGAAAGCTACGACGTTTGCCCATCTTTCTGGCAGTTTGTTTATCCCATCCCAAAAGAACTTCTTCGGCTTGGGGGTCAAGAAAGAATCGAGCCAATTTCTGATACCTTGTTCTGAAGTGAATCGTACTCCGGTGAGGGCATTCTGCATTACTCTGAACAAGTGGTAATCGGAAAGTGCTATGTCTGGGCTATAAGGCGGGTGAGGTAGAACTTTCCACCCACAGTTTTCCAAATATTTTTTAACTGGCCTTGCAACATGTGGCCGTGCGTTGTTGTGATGAAAAATTATTGATTCGTGTCTGGTCGCATATTCTAGTCGTTTTTCCGCGATGGCCTTTTTCAAACGAATCAATTGTTTTCGGTAGAGGTCCCCATTGATCGTACATAGCATAACCTTGGCACCATGGATATTCGGCTTTGCCGTGGATGTCGATGGTTGGCCGGGCTTCACATACGTTCTCTTGCGCTTTGGGTTATCATAATGAATCAATTTTTTATCGCCAGTGACAATCCGATGCAAAAATACCTTATTTTGGTGGAGTTGAAGCAACATTTCCGACATGCAGAATCGACGTCTCTTGGCTTTAATGCATAAGGCACCCAATTTCCAAGCTTCTGGATAAATCCTAATGATTTTAATCGTCTGGAAACGGTTGCTTGATCAACTTCTAATACTTTTGCAAGTTCTTCTTGCGTCTGGCATGCATCTGCGTCGAGCAATGTCTGTAATTCTTCGTCTTGAAATTTTTTTGGCTGTCCGGGTCGTTCTCCGTCGTCTAAGTCGAAATTGTCACTTTTAAATCGTGCAAACCACTTTTGGCACGTTCGTTCGGCTGAAGCATGGTCACCATAAACGTCCAGTAAAATACGATGGGTTTCGGTAGCACTTTTCTTCATGTTAAAGTAATGAAGAAGAACTTCCCGCAAAAACACTTTATTTGGTGCAAATTTCGACATTTTCAAATGAATAAAATAAATTATTGTTCACGCTAAAACAAATGACATCTACTGAAAACGACGCAAAATAATACTAGTAGAGCTCTCTCTTAGAAAACCGCACGAATTAATGCATACACCCAATAGTTTCCTTCACTTCATAAACCCCGGTGTTGGACTGACCAGGGTTATTTTTTTTTTGAAACGCGGCAGAAGGCCGCCACCGCAAAAAGGAGTTCTACGCGAAAAGACCTTGGTACACCCCTACGTTTGATCACCCAGGGGTATTTTTTGAAGCGCGGCCGGAAGCCGCCAACGCAAAAAGAAGTTCTGTGAAAAAGTAACATTGTCATAGAGCATATAACATAATTCTTAACATCAATGCTCTGTAATAGTTTATTTTTCTAGGTTTTGGATTCCTGTATTTGGGGTATTATCTGTTTTTATTTCTTTCAGTTCATTTACAAAAGATGTTGATAAAGTAATACTGGTTATTAGACATTTTGCAACCCTTTTGTTATTGTCAGAATTAATAGAATTTAACAATAATTTAAATATTGAATTACACTATTTTTGCACTATATAATGTAAAATAAATGTGTACAAACGAATTAGTGAAGTGATAGTGGATATAAAAGTGAAAAATATAAGCGTATAATTCATTTGAAATCGAAAAGATGCGTACTTTAAATAGTTGAAATTTTCAACTTTAAACGTAAATATCTCGAAAACTAAGTTTACCGCGGCTATATCCATATATATTCTTGATTTTGAAGATCTCCTCTATCCGCCCATACCAAGTTTACCCCCGAAAGCCTGTGACGGTATACTAAAGTTTTCCCAAAAAAATATCTGGCATACCACTCATAAGGTCTTCGTCGGTTCTCGAAGTTTTAAAATATATATTTACAACAACTTTTTTTCTTACGTGAATTAGTAAAAATGATCGCATGTGGTAAATGTATAGTTTAGGTCCCACAACTAAGTAGTCCTCAAAAATTAAATATTTTTTTAAACCGTCTTATTTTGACGCGAAGATTACAAATCCGTAAGCGGAAAGTGAATTTTTTCAATAATTTATGTATATATTTACAAATTTATTTAACGTAATTGTATTAAATTTACTCCAACATGCTCTTCGAATAACGGTTTCTAACTACAATTGAAATTTTAACGGAACTTGTTGAAATAAAGGTCAATATAAGTAAATATATTTGTAGTTTAGTGCTTTAGTTTTGTCGCAGCAAATATACATGTTATGCGAAAGTTTTGTATGTCAAAATGTAATTGGTAATAAAAAAGGTTCAGCTTAATAAATTTCTTTTAAACATATAATCCTATTATATTCATAAAAAAATAAAAAGTCTTTTACCTTTTGTTTTTAACTAAATGTGTACAAGGTGAACATCGTGCTTTAGTTTTGTCCGACACTGTATATATACATACATATATTAAGTATATGTATATATGAGTAGGCACGATTTGGTGCCGCAATCTGTTGGTAAGAACGGGTAGAGGAGGTTCTCCCCAGTTAAAAAATATATTTATATTTTGAAAATTACTTGGCACACTCATACAGTACTGCCGGTCTTCGGTCTCTTGTCAGTTGTTGTTGTTGCAGCGGCAGAAAACATTCGTGAAGTAATTTCGAAGAATAGTGCCGAGTTGACAGTCCTTATCCGGATAAAAATCTGGGTCCACTCCGATTACTTAGATTCGGCTGTCGTAGGAACGTCCTCTAGTCGCCGCGGTGTCCATAGTTTTTTTTTGCTTCGAGGGATGGTTTGTACCATTTTCATTGATCGAACATATCAAATGTTTTAGCAATTCAAATTTGCTTGCTTGCTACAACAACCCCATACTGTAACGAATGCTAGAATTAGTGACCGACGCGCCGCCCTTCCGTATCAAACGAAATTAGTCAAACGTTATGCCCATAGTGACAACGTAGAAATCAGTTCTCTATTGTTCACATTTGAGCAATGTTGCCAATGCACACATCTTTTCAGTTATAATTTTTCAGAATGTAACACATCAAAACTAAAATCCAACTATTAGAAATAGGTTACCTATTTAAAAATAATTGTTTCGACTTTAATTTTAAGTTATTTAAAGAATATTCCAAATATATTCATTCTTTAATTTCTACAAAATATCGAGACTGGCAACCGTTTCCACGATAGCCGGGTCTATGTGACCGGAACGGACCTCATTGCGTTGTAAGAGAGCAATCAGCTGACTCATTTCTACGGCGAAAATCCAATTTTTGCAAATATCCCACGTTACGGACGGTAGAAGAGGTAGTGAGTGTTCATTTACATTGTGATGTCATATGATAGGTCGTGTCAGCTGATACGGTTTTGTGTCGTTTACTAATTGAAGTAGAACATGGATGCGAAAACAAAATAGAATCGACATTACAATATATTGAACTTATCTGTCAAACCCAAACGAAAGCAAATCTGCCAAACTGCAGCAAAAGCGTTCAACATATCTTAGTATAGTATGAAAACCATAAATCGAATTATGTAAAAAAATGTTTGCTCAAAATATACTTTGTATAAATACAGCATATTCAAGGTGCTCATTTGATTACATGGGCGTATTTAGGTTTTGTTAATTTTTCCTGGAACTTTTATACATCGTTTTTTAATAACGAATTAAAATGAATTTAATAATTAATAATTATAATCAATTTTACTTCTTACAAAGCTATACGATCATAATCACTTGTGTTTCCAATTATAGTTAAATAACTGTTTATATATTACGTTGTTTATAATTAAGTTTTTTCGAGGCATATCTCAGCTGTAGTAGGCCAGCATGTGAAGATCTCATTAGATTTGATACTTCGTTGTTACTGTTGTTTGGCAAAGCGTAAAAAGATGAGAGTTGCCCAACATTTTGCTTTGCCTTGCTGCCAAAAATAATGGAATGCCTAACTCTTTCCAGTATGAGAGCGCCTCTAAATTTGCATTTTTATAACACTTTCCATTGTAGCCAGATCGGACAAAAAAATAATTTTTGGGCATTTAAATAAAAATACCCAACATTTATTAAGATTAAATATTATTATAAATGTATCCGTTAAACATATGGAAAAACTATTTGAATTCATTTTTGTGATTTTGTAATATATTAAAACAACTGACTTTTCAACTTTCAATACTTAAAAAGTGAAATAAGGTATTAATTCTCAATTAGTAAATGTTTTTTTATAATTTTCAATTGAAATTTTTGTTAGTGATCTTCAACAGCCGCAACAAATCTCTCTGTTCACATATTTTTCTGTAGGATTTCAATATGGCCGTCCCTCTTTTTCCAATTGCTAAATGTCAGACCTCCTGAACTTTGACAGTTGCCTGAGTTCATGAGGTTTTGACGTTTAGCAATTGCGCTCTCATTTCCAGTGAGAGATGAGTTGGGCATCTCTTTATCTCTGTTCCTACCATACTCAGTCTTCAAGAAATGTACGATCCAGAATTCAGTAGTTCTCCTGCCGAATAGGTATACCAGGGATAATGGGATGCCCAACTCTTTCCAGTGTGAGAGCGCCTCAAAATTAGCGTTTTTTTTTTAACATTTTCCACTGTAGCCACATCGGACAAAATAATAATTTTTGGGCATTTAAATTATAATACCCAACATTTATTAAGATTAAATATTATTATACATGTATCCGTAAAACATATGGAAAAACTATTTGAATTCATTTTTGTGATTTTGTGATATATTAAGACAACTATTTTTTGAACTTTCAATACTTAAAAAGTGAAATAATGTATTAATTTTCAATTAGTAAATGTTTTTTAAAATTTTTGTTAGTGATTTTCAACAGCGGCAACAAATCTCTCTGTTCACATATTTTTCTGTAGGATTTCAATCTGGCCCTCCCTCTTTTTCAAATTGTTAAACGGCAGACCTCCTGAACTTTGACAGTTCCCTGGGTTCAGGAGGTTTTGACGTTTAGCGATTGCGCTCTCATTTCCAGTGAGAGATGAGTTGGGCATCTCTTTATCTCTGCTTGCTGCGTTTCGCTTTGATGTGAACGTACTCATATAAAAGCATACATCGAACTTTTCTGTCAAAACATACATACTTGTATGTATGTATGTCTGACGCAGAGCGAAGCAAAAGTTCTATGTGAATCAGCCTTTAAACGGCAACTATTGAGTGTTCTGGCGAAATTATTAATTGGCATCATTGATAAATTCCTAAAAAATCAATCAAATCCGTTGTAGCGCGTGGACAAAACGACAAGGTCAGTGTCAGTAAGTTAATTATAATTGTGTTCTTATTATCATCTATAAAAGATACATTGTTAGTATATTTCAGCTTTGAATATGTACGCAGTTAATTTCCAAACGAATTTAAAAATTTTGGCAAAACTTTAGTTTAGCATCCCACGATTTCAGGGTTAGGAGGGGTATGGTTGGATAGAGGATATATATATATATAAATATAGCAAATCAGCATCATGATCCATTTATACATTATACACATAGGTTTAAGCTATAAAACCTTTTTCTTTTAATAAAATGGAAATGCTTTCATTCGTTTGGATATGGCAACACTTGTTAGCTGTCAACATGGAACCCATTTGTTATTGTTCATCTAACGAAATTTGTGTACAAATTAAATGCTTATTTAAAGCAAATACTTAAATATTTAATATAAAATAAATATGTAGAAACATTTAAGTGAAGTGTTAGTGTATAATAATTGCATAATATAAAAGAAAAGTTAACCATAAATCGAGAAATTGTAAAATAAAATTTGTGAAATTTTCAACTTAAAATGCAAATATCTCGAAAACTATAAGTTTCCGGCGGCAATAATTATATTTATTCCTGATCTGGAGAATCTCCTCTATCCAACCATACTCCTCTTAACCCTGAAATCGTGGAATGCTAACTAAAGCCGACCAAAAATTTTAAATATGGAATGAGCAAGGAATTCACAAAGCAGGAGCAAAAACGAATTAAAGAGTCAGTGTAATACCATGTGCCGACCGACACTTAATGTCGAGATTTAGACTGTTGAGTAGATTACTTCACTAATCTACTGTAGTTAGCAAGATTTTAAAGCTAATCTGCTCAAAATCTCCCTGTCCGACTCTTAATAAGCGCCATCTGCTTTTCAGCAGTATCACATTATCACACCTGATTTAAACACTACAATCTAATAGAGTTGTGGCGAGAAAACATGCCACAGCTTCGATCGGCTGGTCAAAACCAGCTGTTTTATAAATCTCAAACGGCAGTAAGAACAGTCTAGACTAGTGAATCGATTTAATCTATTTTATTCATAAGATTGCTGTAAACTTCGTTTTTAAAGCCTTATTGCCAACAAAATCATATTCCAAAAATGAAGGTGTTTTAAGGGATCTGCAGCAATAGGAGCTCAGCTAAATATGCAATTGTTTTCTCTTACCGTAATTTTTTTTTGGAAGATCATCGCAAAAGGTGGTAATATTGACGGAAAATCTCACGAAGATTCGTCAGGTGCGCACAATGTCAAAAGTGCCAAAATGTTTCGTATAATGGAGTTGAGGTTAGGGATTAGCCTGCGCAATATCTAGATTTTAGAAGAAAGTAAAGCCTGGTACTTGATCCTGCAAAAGAGATGCTAGGATTAAGAGAGTCTATGCCCAAACGCTGCATGGACATAATTGCCAATAAAAGATATTCTCTCAAATACAATATAATTAATAGTGCATAATTTTTTGGTTTTAAAAACTGATTTGGTTTTGAACCTATTTTTATGTCCAAAGAAATTCTAATGAGGTCAAATAGTTTAATCTTTGTAAGTTGTGTAAGGTTTCTTTCACATTTGCAATGAAGACTAAGATGAAATATATTATATCAATTCATTCCTTTTTTATCGTTTTTTCCATAACTGTATAAAAGCATTTAACCAGTAATTTGCATATTAATTATTTTATTTTAATTTTAGGGCACTCCCCAATGGGTAATAATACGTTTTGAAGAGCCACAGGCGGTCAGTAAGTTTTCATTCCAGTTTCAGGGAGGTTTCGCTGCGAAAACCCTGTCAATCCACGCGGAAACGGAAGACGGTAAACAAATTTTGGAGGAGGCATTCTATCCAGAAGATATAAATTCCACCCAATCATTTATATTAAATCAGCCTATAGAGAGCAAAGAAGCCGTAAAAATTAAGTTTTTATTTCCTTCAAGTACAGACTTTTTTGGTAGAATAATACTGTATGAACTTGAAATATTCGAATAAAGCGAACGATTTTAACCATGGTAGACGTGGAGATACTTTTGCTGAAACATTTACAATTCACACTAAAAAATTTACAATGCGACGTGGTAGATTCAGAAAAAAATTATACGTAAAATTATTAGTTAATTATTAAAAAACAAACAAGAAAAAACATTTAACCGTTGCAAGAGGGTTTGTTTTGAATCGCAGTTGTCAAAATTTTACATTTGAAATTTAAAAAAATGTCAACCAATTCAACACATATCGTTTTAATGTGTTATACAATCTTAAACTTATATAAAACATTGACTTTTGTGCTTAATAAAATCACAGTTCATATTTTTGTGATTATTCGACATAATCAGCTTTGTGGCCTATCATATGGGTAATTAGTTCAAATCAAGCTTTAGTGAATATCAGTTATATGGGGGCTAAGGCAAGTTTCTGCCCGATTTTATTTATTTTAGGCACAAAGATAAACTGTCAGTAGAAAATCACACTTTCTCAATTTCATTAAAATAACTAGCACATTAGCCTATATATATCAACTGGAAGTTTGAAAATCTTTATATTAGGTATATGGGAGCTAAGGGAAGTATATGGGAGCATATTTCCGGTATTTGGAGGCTTGAATATTTATGGCCCGCTTTTGACAATTTTTAGACCTGAGATGGCATACCTTAAAGGAAATGTTCGTGCATATTTTTACCCCGATGTATTAGTTAGTACTTGGTTTGTATACTGGAACGTGAAAAAATCAGATGGAATTTAAGATGTGTTATATGGGAAGTAGGCGTGGTTGTGATTCGATTTCTCTAATTTTCACACGGTAATGTAGAAATGTAAGGTAACATTACATACCGAATATGGTGAAATTTATTGCGCTTCTAGGAGTTTATAACAAAACCGTTTTATGGGAAGAGGGCGGGGTTATAATCTGATTTCATCCATTTTCACACTGTCGGTGGGGGTTATTAAGGGATTTTTCCTAAGCGAGTTTCGGTGATATAGCTTGAATGGGTTGGAAGATATGTATATTAGATTTATTAAAGGGCGGAGTCACGCACACTAAACCAAATTTTAAGCCCACAGGTGCCTTTTGCTACTGCAATTCCCTGTACCAAATTACAGATTCATACGATTAATCTACGAACTCGTCCTCACTTTTTTGCCAATGAGTTTCATTACGATCTCTCAATTTTTACTCAAGTTACAGCTGGCCTTCAGACGGGCGGACAGACAGTCACCCGGATTTCAACCATGTACTTATATAAGTCCATATCTATCTCGATTAGTTTCAGGTGATACAAACAACCGTTAGGTGAACAAAACTATTATATTCTGTTTCAAGAGTATAGAAAAACTTAAATATAAGAGAAAAAATTTCAAACAACTTTTTGTTACAACAAAAACCAAATACTAAGTTAGTTTGATTAACTAAAAAAACATGAATGCTGCTGAGAATTTAATCAAGTTTTAGTTAAATTAATAAAAGTGTGACCATATTGTTTTAAATCAGATCTAAGTAGCAATTGTATCGAGCAAACAAGTTTTTTATTGTATTGGGAAGAAATGCTGTTTTTGGGTTTTGTTGTATATGCACCTAGCGATTGTTTGTAACACCTAAAACTTATCAAGATGACGAGTGGAGTTGAATTTCGGGTGGCCATCTGTCCGTCCGTCCGTGCAAACGATAACTTGAGTAAAAATGAAAATAAATTAAGATTAAGTTGGCACCCAAGACAGGTTGTTATTGCAGATGAGCCGATTTGGACCATTTCCACACCCAAAAAACGTTAATAACCTCCCCAATAAGATAAAAAAAAAATTATTTGTTACAACGCATTGCATTAGAGAGGGGCATGTTTTTGAAAAATTAAAAAAAGTGGGTGTGGCTCCGCCTCCTAATAGGTTTAATGTACTTATCATCCAAACCACTTAAGTTAAATCAACCCAAAGGACATATTTTTTTTGGCACATCCTCCGACAGTGTGAAAATGAGTGAAATCGGATTATAACCCCGCCCACTCCCTTTATAACGGTTATGTTGAAATCTACTAAAAGTGTGATAACTCAATAAATGAATGCGTCAGAGACATTAAATTTCACACCAAAGATGGTACAAGAAAGCTTAATAGCAGCCAGTGTCAGAATTGGTTGAGAGGCTTGACACCGTCTACCTTTTGGTGAAATCATATATCTCCAAACGTACTCGACCAATTGTAAAAAATAGGTTTCATAGCCCATCAAAATGGGCGAAATCGAATCACAACCACGACTACTTTCCATACAACACAATTTTAAAATCCATCAGATTCTTTCACTTTCCAGTATACAAATCAAGCAACAATGAATGTATCGGACAAAAACTTTGCATAAATACTGCCCTGAAGGTGTGCCATTTCGATAACCAAATTCGAAACATAACTAAGCCCCCTGATACCAAATATGGAAATCCCAGTGCTTATTGCCAACTTTTTACTCAGAATGATACCAAATATGGAAATCCCAGTGCTTATTGTCAACTTTTTACTCAGAATGTCGGTCAATCTGTTAGATATATTACTGAAATTCGGAGAGAATCCTTTTGTGATAATAGTATTCAAGTTTGTCAAAAATGGGTTGAACCGCGTTAACATTCTGATTAACTTTATATCTTAATGAAATTGAAAGAGTTGGTTTTTTTAATAACAGTAGATCTTTGTGTCTAAAATAGGCTTAAACTTTGCCCTAGCCCCCATATATTGGTGCGCCAACAGATAGCTCCAGAAGTTAGTGGTGATCGATTTTTATTAATAAACGTGATTAACTTAACCTAGACATTTGAAAAAGAAACTGCGTTTCCACATTATTGATTTTGTTTATGTGTCATATATAAGGTTGTCAAATATCTCCCTTCCCTTGCTCTTCATTCAATGCTTTATAAAAAGTGTTACAGTGATTGGATTTAGTTAAAATATGCGCCGTTTTGTTCGATGATCTGTTTCCATCTAGACGGCAACTTCATAATACCTTCCTCGTAGAAGCCCCCCTCCTTATTTGCGAAGAATTCGGACAGCCACTTTTCATAAGCCTCTTTTGAGTTCAACTTCACACCACCAAGGGCATTCGCCATGGACAGGAACAGGTAGTAATCACTTGGCGCAACGTCCGGGCTATATGGTGGATGCGATAAAACCTCCCATCCGAACTCCCGTAGCTTCTGACGAGTCATCAACGAAGTGTGTGGTCTGGCGTTGTCTTGGTGGAACACTACACCCTTCCTGTTGGCCAATTCTGGACTCTTCTGGTCGATTGCCTGCTTCAAGCGGTCCAGTTGTTCGCAGTAGATGGTTGAATTAAGCGTCTGGCCATATGGGAGCAGCTCATAGTGGATGATTCCCTTCCAATCCCACCAAACACACAGCAAAACCTTCCTGGCCGTCAATCCCGGCTTGGCCACTGTTTGGGACGATTCACCGGCCTTCGACCACGACCGTTTTCGCTTGATATTGTCGTATGTGATCCATTTTTCGTCGCCAGTCACCATCCGCTTCAAGAATGGGACGAGTTCGTTCCGTTTCAGCAGCATATCGCAGGCGTTGATTCGGTCCAGAAGCTTTTTTTGCGTCAAATTATGCGGCACCCAAACATCAAACTTTTTTTTGTATCCAGCATTCTGCAGATGGTTCAAAATGGTTTGGTGACTAACTCCCATCTCCTGGGCGATGTCACGAGATGCCATATGCCGGCCTAACTCGATGTATGCCATGATTTGATCGGTATTTGTCGTCACAGGTCTTCCGCCGGCTGGCTTATCCATGGTGTCGTTTTCACCGGCTCAGAATCGTCGAAACCATTCCTCCGCGGCTCGAAGTGATAGAGTACCATCCCCCAAAACACCATTAATCTCACGGAACGTTTCTCTAGCGGATTTGCCTTTAACGAAGGAAAACTTTAAAATAGCGCGAATTTCGGCGTTAGTGAACTCCATGTTTACACGTCTATAACTGTTGAACGCAATATCCAAACTAATCATGCATAGCGTTGTTTTGTAGGTTATGTCAAGACCTTTCAAATTATGTATATTGTTGCCAGATACGAGCTCTGTAGCGCTTTGTACATAGCCGCGAAATTCAAAAGACAAAAAAAGCGGAAGGGAGATATACTTACAACCCTATACTTTTGGTTGTTCGAATATGTCCGATTTTTTGCCAAACAATCGTTATTTGCCGGAAGTGTTGTTTTTCTTCTTTCAGTCAAAGAAATCGGCGGCTGAAGCACATCGGGAACTCCAAAAAGTTTACAGAGGTACTGCCCCAAGTGAAACAACATGCCGTAATTGATTTCGTCGATTTAAAGACGACGATTTCGATAGAACCTTTGAAGACGGTGAAATGGAGACGCTGCTCAATGAGAATTGACAGTCACTCGCCAAGCCGTTTCAAAGCGACTACATGAGCTGGTGGAAAAAAAGTGATTTCGCTGCATGACAACGCTCGGCTTCACGTTGCCAAACCGGTTAAAACATGGAAACATGTAATGGTATTCGAGCTTTGCCAGAAAGATGGGAAAAAGTTGTGACTATCGATTTTCATTTTAAAAAAATTCGAGAATAGATATTTTAATAAAATTAGGTATACAATTTTTAATATTTTAAATATAACATATATAATATTATTAATTACCATAATTAAATTCCGTCATTGCTTACGAAAGAGTGAATAAATATTAAAATGGACATTATATTTCATTTATATTATAATGACGGAAATGTTGTGGCTATACAAAAAAGCCTTTGCGATCACTCAAATCCAGTGGAACTTCCAAACACTATAAATTTTATTGACGATTAAATGGCTTTTAAATAATCATTGTTGCAGATTCATAAGTTATTTTTGTTTACATAAGAAAACACTTTAAAAAAAAGGTGAAGAAATGTTTGAAACAATAAACGTGTGCGAAGAACGGCTGTACCTCCTATGCTGAAATTATGCGTGGTTATCGAAAATGCAGTGGAAATGATTTTCACGTTGGGCTGGCCCATCCTATGATATCTATAGTTTTTAAGAA